CACACACACACACACACACACACACACACACACACACACACACACCTATACACTGACGTACATATTCATATGTACAGACGCAAATGTATGCTTAACTATAATACCTTACAAGAAGGAACATTATAAACACCGATATTTTGTAAAAAACAAAACAATAACAACAACAACAAAACACAAATGTGAGGGGAAACCCCTTGACTTCTCCAAGACTCTCTACCTTTTGCTTTAGTCTTGAAAATGACTTTTTTGAGTTTAGGAAAGAGCCTTGAGCATCTAGAATTCCACCCAACCCGTTACCATATCTCACCAGGGGGAATCCAACAAATTGTAATGTCACATCAAGACTTTGGGCAAAAACCTCACAGATCTAAAGTCAGAATACCGTAATTTTCCAAACTTTAATACGACGTAAAGATAATGGTGTGTGCAAATGGAGACATTGGACGCTGACTAGCAGCCACGTTTAATTACTCTCCTCTGATCCCAGCCAGCTGAAAACGTGGCTTTGAGCACAGTCAGCCCTCTGTATCTGGGGGTCTGCACGTGCGTTCAGTAAGCCACAGATTTAAAATATTCAGGGGAAAATGTATTCATGCTAAACACATACCTTTTCTTCTTGTTCTCTGGACAACACAAGCAATGGAACCATTTACATTGCATAGCATTATAAAAAATCTATCCACCAACGAAAGGTACATAGAAGATTATAAATGGGTTATATGCAAATGCCAAATCATTTTATGTAAGGGATTTCACAGGGAATCTTGAAACCACCCCCATGGATCCTGACAGAGGGATTTCAAATCCTAATTGGTGATGCAAAGATGAGGCTGTGTTGTCTTCAAAGTTTCATTTACTAGCTCACTAAAGGGGCACTGAGAGAGGGAAAATTAGTTTCCCCCAGGTATGAACTCCTGCATAGGATATCCAACCCCAACTGGTCAGCCCTGGACACATGCACCGATGAGCAAAGCTAAATGGGGCTCCAGAGGTTGTGTACACGAATGTGCATATGTACACGCGTGTATTCCTGTAAAACAGAGGAATTAAAGAAGAAACCACAAATCTGGGGGACCTGGAAAGGGTTTGAGGGAGAGGAAAGGCTGGGTGGGAGTTATGCTGATAGAGTGCTTGTGTATGAAGTTCTCAACAGCAACAACAAAAAAAGTTGGGGTTTTTTGTTTTGTGTTTTTAAAAGAATATGCTCTGGGGAAAGACCCACACGGTATGCTAGTGCTCCAGACAATCCGAATCCAAACCTCTCCCGCTGCATTTTCTCATACAGCCGATAGGATGGCTGGTGGAGGCTATTTGTTTACTGTTTACTCTTTGGCCTTCTGTATTATTCTGGATTTCTACCAGGCCAACGATGACACCCCTCCCCCCACCATAAAACAGAGAGACGATCCACACTCAGAATCAGTGGGTCCACCAACCTCAGGCGCAAAGTACTGTTCAGATTGGTTTTAACTTGCATCTTCTCTGCTTTCTTGTCCTTGATCCCTAGGCAGCACGGTGCAGTTAACTATTTTACTGGTACTTACGTTGGATTATGATAATGTACAGGCGATTTCACATATACAGAAGGAAGTGTTCATAGCAAATTTTATGAGCACCCGTGAATTTTGACATCTCGGAGGGTGTCCCAGAACTAGCATCCTCAAATTATCAAGGAACTGCAATTAGGAGAGATTTTATTTTCTAACTCTTTTTGACTTTTTAGAGGGGTGACCTGAAGGGGCCTGGGTAAGATGCCACACTGACACAAACATCTCCATCTCAAAGGAAGGTGCTCCCACCCCAGCCAGCATCTGAGTTCTCCCTCCCAGATGGCCATGGGCTGTGAGGCTGGCAGAGGAGGAGTGCGAAAGGCATAACCAAAGCACCCTAAGTCACTGCTCAACTTCTGACTGACTTCACCCCTTCCTCATGACCCCACAGCCCTCGCCCACAAAAAACTAGCTTTCTTGTTCTCCAAACAACACCCTTATCCTCCTTTCCTCGTTCCTCTGCAGACCTGCCTTCCAGAGCACTCCCACAGTGTCTGACCTCAGGGCATTCCTTTGCTATCTTTTCAGCCAGGGCAACTTTTATCTGTCTTTTGAGCTCTCTAATGAAGACCAACTTCCAATTCTAGGGCTTCAAAGAGACACTGGCTAGTTTGCTGCCCAGTGCTACCTAATGCATGCCAAGAAGCCAACCGTCTTGTGGTCCTTAGGCGATGAGGGATGTTTTCCCTGAAAATATCAGGAAGCAACATCATCCAGCCAAATCAGCCTTGCTCACAACTGCATCCTGCAGTTTCCCCCACAGCTCATAGACGTGTCAAAGGTACGCTTCCGGTGAGGATCAACTTCTACACGCTAGGTGGATGAGACAGCCTTGGGAGGCAGGGGGCTGCAAGGAGCTCCAATCCAGGGGATGTACCAAGAGTTAAGATCCAGACCCAAGACAGTAAAAAGGAATCAAGACATAAAGGAAATGGAGAAACCAACTTTCAACTGACCTGCATCCAGTCTGAGACAAGGTGGTTACCAGGAAAGGGCACCTGCCAGCAACAGGCATGTTGACCCACGCCTCTAATGCCAGCCCTAGCAGGCAGAGGCCTGGCCTGAGGTACACAGTGAACCCTGTCTCAAAAAACTAAGCGTTGGGGGTGGGGTGGGGAACCTGGGGACAGAGCACTTGCCTAGCACACACAACTCTCTGGGCTTCATTTCTCCAGCTGCAGAAAAATGGGCCACACCAGCTCAGGCATGAAAACATGTTAACATCTCGAATGCCCTTCACCTAGAGAGCATGCTGTTCTCCCTTCCAGTGGCTCAAAGTCTGAGAACTCATCCGAAATGAGCTATTTTGCTGTTTAGAGCAAACCCGGTTGAAAAAAAAGTTTCTGTTTGTTTAAGATCCTATAATATATAGCATCACCAGCTCCACAGGGCTGCTGGAGGTGGGGCTTTTGTTTATCTATCCACACAACCTGCCTCTCCTCTCCCAGTCTGCCCTGGCTTAGAAGGAATCCTGAACCCAAATGTGTCTTCACAACCTGCAGCCAAATGCTCAGTCTCCTAGAAACTCACCCAGGAGAAAGAATGAAATAATACCAGTGTTTCAATGTCAAAACAGGACAGGGAGGATCTGGGAAAAGCAACCACAGAGTCTGCTTTCTTGAAGCTGTGGGTACACAGCAGGCAAGCATCCCTCCCCCAACTTCAGCCACCGTAAATCAAGGTCACCATCAACGACACAAGTCACTTGTACTGTCCGTGATCTTAGCTGATTTTGGAAAATTGTTTTGCTGAAGGCATTCCTTTTCTTTCTTTTTCTTTCTTTCCTTCCTTCCTTCCTTCCTTTCTTTCTTTTCTTTCTTTCTTTCTTTCTTTCTTTCTTTCTTTTTATTACAGACTTGAAAATAATTTTACATTAAAATTCAGTTATGTCTGCTATCATTTATTTGCTTCGTCTTAGAATCAAGATTTAAGTCAAGCAGAGCCTTCTCTGTATTTCTACCAAAGATGCTAAAAAGACTTAGAACTTTTTCAGGAGCCTGCTCAGAATATTTTAAATGACTATAAGTCTTGAAATGAAAACAGCAATTTTTCTCCATCCCCCAACCCCCATCCCAAGTTTATGTTTTCTCAATTTAGACAGCCCAAGGGTTGCTTTTAGAGCAATCAATTGTGAAGAAAAAAAAAAAGTTCCCAAATAATAATAGCTCCAAATACCTTTGGCCAGGATATGCTAACATGGAACTAAAGCAGGTTCTGTCCCAGAGTCAACACAACATGGAAGCAGAGGAAATGGACATCTAGAGAGCTGACGAGAGCATGAAAAAGGGCAGGACAGTGCATATTAGCTGGGAAAGGGGAGCATTCTGAAGAGTGGGGGGAGGGCCTGGGCCACTGTGGGTGGGGACACCTCTGAGCTGGTGGTCCTGGGTCCTATAAGAAAGCTGAACAAGCCAAGAGGAATAAGCCAGTGAGCTCACTCCTCCATGGCCTCTGCATCAGCTCCTGCCTCCCAGTTCCTGCCCTTCCTTCAGTGATGATGATGAGCGGTGATGTGAAAGTGTGAGCAAAATAAAATCTCTCCTCTTGAAATTGCTTTTGGTCATGGTGTTTCGTCACAGGGATAGTAACCCTGATGAAGACACTCTACAACCTGTTTAGGCCTCCATTCCTTATTTACAAAATGAAGGTAAACACATGAACTACTGTAATTAAGTAGATCGGTAGATCGGTAGGTAGATAAGACAGGGCCACACATGGAGCAAGAACAAGGAATGGTGGCAACTATTTTCATCATCATTGTGTCTGTCATCATTCTTGTCATCATTATCATCATGGATGACAACTGACCTTACAAGGATTCTTCTTTTACTTTCTCTCTAAAAAATTATCACTTTGAAACCATCATTGCTCTCCTTTGTAGTGCCTAAGGTTGGTAGGTTCATCTTTAGAATAAATCCTTCATGATAAAGAGACTACCATGGAATTGAATATAAGCAAAGGCCCATGGCATTCCCCAGCTGTCCATCTGATTGCTATCTATTTGATTCACTCTGTCAAGGAGTGCCTCATGACCTGGACTAGCCATGAACGTGGGTAAGCTGGGCACAGTAGTGCACACCTGTAATCCCAGCACTTGGGGAGGAAGAGGCTGGTGGATCTCTGTGAGCTCAAGGCCAGCCTGGACTACAAGGTGATTCCAGGAAAGCCAAGGCTACACAGAGAAACCCTGTCTGGAAAAAAAATCAAAGGAAGAGTCAACACAGGTATTTGAAGGGATGTAACAAGGAACCCAGAGTGTGGCTGTAGGGAAAAGACACTTCCTGGCTAAAGCATTCTAAGCCTGTCCTAACATAATCTTTTCAAAGTTAGAATAATGGTAACAGCACGGTATGGCTCAGACCCTTCTTGCTGCATGTGAGGAAGCTCGGTCTCGTGAAGAGCAGCCAGCTCATCATCTTACTGGGAACAGCACATCTCAACTAGCCCAAACCCAGCTCTTGGGACTTCCAGGAAGCCAAGATACCAAGATACCAAGGCCAAAAGATGCCACAATCAGCGACTGAGTTCAGAGGGGCCGGCGGCACTGGTGCTTGGAGTTTCTTTTCTGATGAGTCCCGCCGCTGCCCATGCTGGAAAATCACAGAATGCCAGAGCCTCTGCCGCTCACAAGAGCAGTGTTCCAGAGAGCGAGGATCCTACAGAAGTGCTCAGAAACCCAAACTGCACCTTGAACGTTCCGAACCAAATGCTAATGTTACATGATGTGTCAGCATCCGTTTCAGTTTTTAACAAATACATGACGTCATATGCACGACCCCAAGCTCACCACTTCAGCCACCGAGGAGTTCAGTTCAGGGACATTAAACACTTTCACGCCATCAGGTGGTCCTCACCACCACCACTCCCCTCAAGACTTTCTCTGTCTTCCCAAACTGACCCTGTTATCTGTTTAACAGCTCCTGTCAGCAGCCCTTTTAAAGGAGACGTCTTAATGATACTCGTCATCAGTAAACACCCTTAGTCATAGCCCAGCTGTATCCAGGAAGGGGCCCCCAGCTCTCCACTTTCGCCCACCTCACACCCTTACCGTAACTGAGCCATGTCCCTGCACAGCTCTATGTTCGGTCTCCTTGTTCGCTCATCCAGCCGGGTGTGAGCCACCTTTAGGAAGGCAGACTTTTCCTTGATGGCCTTTCTGATGGATAGTATGGACATTTCAGTCTGGAAGATCTCCTGCAGGATCTGTGGCAATGGGAAGCAGCCGCTGACATCTCCTTGCTGTTCCCTGAGCAACCTGCAACGCTCCCACCCCTGGCCCGTGTGCTCCCTCCACCACTGGGAGAAGGGAGTAGATTGACCAAGAACCTTGCTCCTTCCACATTCTCCTCTTCACAACACCTTCCTCCTATGACCTTGCTCTCTGCGGCTCCACAGTTCCAAATACTCCCTCACTTGGTTGTGGGCCCTTTCCTATGGCCTGGAGACAGCCCTGATGACACCAACACATATTCCAGATCTGACCTGATTTTTTGCCACTCTCCAAGCTAATACCAGTGTGGGGTCTCTCCACCGTCCCGTGTTCCCTGGCAAGTATGCTCACCCGTGGCCTGTGCCCATTTCCTCTGCCTCCCACCTACCCAATATCCCAGCGCTTCCTATATTCCATCTCTGGCACCCACTGATCTCATTAAAACGCCTCTGGAGGCCATCATCCAGGCCATTTGGATGCTTCCCTCTCCTTGAAACCCTGCCTCACATGTTCTCTTAGGCAGCTGCTAGCCAAGTTTCCCACTTTCACCTTCTAGCTGTCCTTCATCCCTTCATCCCAAAGCTTCATCCTCAGAAACTCTGCTGTTGCATCCTCCATCCTTCATGGAGACCTTGCAAAGCCACACTTCTTTACTGCCCATGTAGTCCAAGTACTTCTAAATGCGTCACTCAGGCTTTGACCTGTCTCCCAAGCTTTTACCAGCCTGTCTAAAACAGCCATGTCTGCGTCTCACCAGAAGAGACTACGTTCCCTTCTGCTAAACATTTATCTATCTGGTTCTAAGTGGTTCCTTCCCAACAGACTACCTCTTTTCTATGGTGTGTGTGTCTGGGGCCGGTGTGTATGCACATCTGTATGTGTGTATGTGTTTTCTCTCACTGGGACATGAGACAGCAGGATCAGTGTGACATCCCAACATGCCTGAATGGAATTCAGAATGTACCTATTATAGGTTGAATCGTGTGTCCTTCCCCTAAGAGTTCATATCCTGATGTCTCAACCCTCAGGTCCCTATATAGTGACTATATTTGGAGACCGGGTTTCTGAGGAGGTCAAGTTAAGATGAAGTCAAGAAAATGGGTCCAAACCTTGTAAATGGAGGAATCTCGGACACTGTGGTGACTGTTCTTGGTTTTCGACTTGACTACATTTGAAATTAATTAAAACTCAAATGGCTGGGCACACTGTGAGGGATTTTTTTTTTCTCTAAAGTACATCATTTGAAGTAGGAATACCCACTTCTAATCTAGATCTTTGAGGTGGAAAGATCCCTCTTTAATCTGGGTCACACCTTCTGCTGGCAGCCTATATATAAAAAACATGGAGGAAGGAAGCTAGCTCTCTCTTTGCCTGCTTGCTCTCACTGTCACTAGCAAATCTATTACTTTCCTGGCATTAAAGCCTACTTCTTTGAAATTCTGAAGACCAGCTGAGACATCCAACCTTGTGGACTTGAACAACTACTGGATTCTTGAATTTCTAGTGGTAGACAGCCACTGTGGATTAGCTGGACCACAGCCGCCTGTAAACCATTCTAATAAATCCATGAGCACACACACATGTATATATATGAGATGATATAAATGAGATGATATATATGAAATATATATGTATATATATATATATATATATACATATATATATATCACATGAGAGATGTGAGAGATTCATTCTATAAGTTCCATTCCTCTAGAGAACCCTGACTAATACAGACATAAATACACACCAGCCTCTTTATGGATCTGAATTCTGCCTCTTAACTATTGCCTCCTGTGCTCTGTTCACAGGGTTGCTCCATTGGAACACTTGTTCCTCCTTCCAACTCCTGTACATGCTTTCTGCATTTGTCCCGGGCGATCACAGTGCACGATCTCCTACAGTTACCACCATCTTCTGGAGAGTAAAATGTACATTTTATACTTTTCTCCACCCTGAACAATGTACTACACTGCCTGGCTTAACTGTTGTTTACTGCATGAGTTGGACATCACGAGAGGAAAAAGTGAATTGTTGGGGCCTAGGGGAAACATGGCACCACCTATTGTGAAATACTACCTTAGAACAACAGTGCAAGGCCTTTAAACAGGAAAAGACAGGTCAGGGAGACAACTCAGCAGTTAAGAGCACTGGATGTTCTCCCAAAGGACCCTGGTTCAATTCCCAGCATCTCCATGGCAGCTCACAACTATCTGTAACTCCAGTCCTAGGGGATCTGATACCGTCTTCTGACCTCCATGAGCACCCATGCACGCAGTGTACACAGACGCAGGCAAACATTCATGTACATAAAAGATATATAGAAATCAGTGTCTTTTAAAGGAAAAAATAAGTGACAAATGATGAGGAACACTTCAAGTGTGACTTCTGCATCAATCTTTCATTAAATTGTCATTTAAAACTCCTATACTCACGGCATGGAAGAATTCATAAACTCAGAGACGCTCAACCTTTTACTTCCTGTCTTTGGTCCTGTCACCCAGAAAAGGGGTTCAAGATGATTGCCCCCCCACACACACACATACACTGTATGTTCTACTAAATTCCCTTTCTAGTTCTACACAGTGATTCATTAAGCTTTATCATAATACTTTTGTTCCCATTAAATACTAAGAGCTGTTCCCCATGGAGTGTGTTCTTCGCATCCCAAATACCCGTGAATTCCCATTTCATTTTGACACCTGGCTTCAGACTGAAACGAATGCTATGCCTGTAATTACTTTTCCTTAGTCTGGATGGCCAGGAGACCATGCGACTTATGGCACTTTTCTGAAGTGGTGAGAGATTTATGTTCCCAGAGTATCCTGCCTTGTCCATGGCAGAGATGGAGAACCCCTGATTGCCTGACTTTTTTTTTTTTCCCAGTCCTGTGGGTTGAGCCAGAGGCCTTGAGTGTGCCAGGCTAACTCTTTGCCTCTGACATTCCTCCCTGTCTTGCCCCAGTCCAGGGTGTAGTGTTTAGGCCAGGCAAGCTCCTCACCTTTGATAAGTGAACATGGATTTTATTCTTGGTATCTATAGTCTCAGTGATGCGATTGGTGAAGGCCAAGTTCACTTTGTTGAACTGGTTCCACATCTCATTGGCTATCACAACCAGAAGGTTTTCAGTGTCCTCTCTCAGCTGAGCAGAAGCTGCCCTCTCACTCTGGGAGCGGAGAATATTGTCGTCTGTAAACTTGGCCCATGATTCGGGCACTGATATCCTGGCAATGGGAAGAGAGCCGATGGGAACAATAACACCTAAGCCTAGATGGTCCACAGGGACTGCTCAGCCTGAAAGATAGAAGCCCCCATGCCACCCATGCTAGACAGGATGCACAAAATGAAAACAACAACAAAGCTAATTTAAATTTTTTCTCATCTTTTTTTCTTATTTTACAGTTAACCAATAATCTATTAATAGACATAAAGTAATTCTTCTGCCAGATTGAGGATGAATTACTGAAAACAAAAGCATGCAGGTTCTCTACAAATGTGTCATGACCAGCCCAATAAACAGAAGCAAAATTATCAACCTTAAGAGTAGCCAAAGGTGTCCCAAACGAACAACCGTACACTGAGAAACCTTCTCAGCAGAGTAAAAAGAGAAAGGTTAACTTGCAGCTGGTGTCGTTTTTAGCAACGTCTGCTGTCTTGCAGCTGAGAATGCTGAACTGGAATAATCTTTCTGGACAGTGGAAAGACAACACAGACTAGGAAGAGGTTATCATTTAAGTGTCTGTAACTCAAAAATTCCACCATCCTAAGAAAATAGTATTCCCAAAGATTGATAGGAAAAGACATTCATTTCATCACTATTTATATAAAGCTTTGCTAACTCAGAAACAACCTAAATAAATGAAAGTGTGGGTTAGAGTAATATGTATGGAAAAGTCTACATAGCATGCAAACTCACAAATATTTACTTAATGAATCTACATTAACCTAGGAACATTAGGTTTACAAACAACATTATTGATACAGTGTGTAGTGAAATGGTGTGTAAGCAATGTCATTCTTTAAGATTATACACTATCATCAGTTGCTCTGGGGATACTTGGAAGGACCAGTTGTCAACTTTGGGTGTGTTTGGATGGTAGATTTAACGGGTGTTATCTGTTTGCTTGTTCTTATAATAAAATATTGAATAGGACTCAATGTTGACTACACCCAAAACAATGTCATTCACTCCATATATTTTGAAAGGGATGGCAAAGAACTTGTCCTGAAATTGGGGGCCTTTCAAAGGGCTAGGACCCATCCTCCAGGGAGGCAAAAGGCGCTCTCTTCTCACCTTGAGTCAAGTAAGAGGCATCATATGGGAACTACACACAACACAAACACAGGGACTGTTTCTGATTCACAGGTGAAGGTTAAAGGCCAAGTGGTAACTGGTATCGAAGCTCTCAAGAGAGGGAGCTTCTATCTTTCAGGCTGAACAGTCCCTGTGGACCATCTAGGCATAGGTGTTATTGTTCCCATCGGCTCTCTTCCCATTGCCAGGATATCAGTGCCCGAATCATGGGCCAAGTTTACATTGTGGGATGAGGCACCCACAGGACAGGACCAATTTTAGAGTCACTTTAGGGGTAACGGGTCGACAAAGATGTGGGGGAAGCCATGGGGATCTTTACAGGGCGATGATAAGTCTCTGGCTGTGGTCACACGGACATCCAAGTGCGTCAGACCCATGGACACGTACGTTTTGGCTGTTTTGTTCTATGTAAGCTTCACTCAGTCAACTTGGTTATTCTTTAAAGGAAGTGGCTGGCTCAAACTATATACATCCTGCCCAAAATGGTACCCAGGGGTCTGGCAAAGAGCTACCAGTGAGGCAAATGTAACAAGCAGTGGTAAGAAAGGCATTCCTGGCGCCCAGCCTGTGTACACAGGGCCCAGGCCATCTAGGAATTGGCAATGTCTGGTTTCCTTTTCGTCTGTGTTTTTCTGGGTTTTCTGCACATGAAGATGCCATTTTTGTGTCAGGAAAAAAAAATCCCTTTAATGAAAGAATGCAGCACAGTTCATTTCCCTGACTCTACTAGAATAAAGCCTTACTGAAACCTAGTCAAGGTCAAGTGTGTCTCTCCTCTCCAGCCACCTAACCGCACTTTGCACCCTCCATTTTAGCTCAGATTGGCAATGATTTCCATCAGTGCATTGTTAGGCAGTCAGCCTTTAAGTCAGTGGTTCTACACCTGCTGGTCACATCTTTGGCAAACATCTACCTCCAAAAACATTATGACTCACAATAGCAGCAGCAAAGTGACAGTTAGGAAGTAGCACCAAAAATGACTTTGTGGTTGGGGGTCACCACAACGTGAGAAAATGTATTAAAGGGTCACAACCTTAGGAAGGTTGAGAATCGCTGCTGTAAGCAATGAGTGTGTCATTGGGGAGCACCAATGCCTTTAAATATACTCTTCACTTTGAGGTGCTAGGGACAAATCCAGGCACATGTACCCCTCCCTAAGTCACACTCTCTGCCTCCATCCACACCTCTCTGAAGAGAATAAGTTCATTCTCACTGAAGTCGGTTCCCCAGAATGAGTGTTTGTGAAAGTGAGTCTGCTTTCACTTTGGCAAATGTCCGTTTGCCCTTCTGTTCCTTCAGCATAGGAACTCTGAAAATATGAACCCAAGAAACTTCTGTTTTTTATCAATCACTCAGTCTTGGGGATTCTGTGGAAGTTGCAGAAAACAGAACAGGACAACCCATGCTGCATCATAATGAAAGCAGAGAGGGAAAAAAAATGCCATTACAGTCACAGCACGGCATGTGCCAACTTACGTTGCATCCACGTTTTCCGCTCCCCGGAAGTAGCTGATGCCCTCAGAAGTGTTTTGCAGGTACTTGCATTTACCATCAATCCGGAGGGCACACTGTTTGTCATTGAGATCCTTCTCAAGCTCGTGCTGTACAGCTCTGTTTGAGCTGCAATACATGGGGGGAGAGAAGAGAGACATGGTTGCAGTCAGGCAACGACTTCCCAAAGGACTAGGCATTGCCCTTCTAAGTCAGGACCCCTCTCCTTCATCCAAACAATCAACCCCCACTTTGAAGGAGCATCTGTGGAAATGGCCATGCATGTGAGTCATGAGGACCCTACCCTCGCCCTGTCCCCACCCCTCCCCAACTTGCCCATGCTTCCTACCCATGGGATGGGGAGGAGTGGGGAGAGGAAGTGGAGGGGGAATAATATCTCCTAATGCTCACCAATAGTTCCAGACAGGTCGCTGGTTTGTGATATACATTCCCACTTCTGTGCCTGCCTTTCCGCCTTCTTGTTCAGCTTCTATATTCTCACCCCTTCTCCTCTATGCTTACTTCCCCCAAGAACTCAAGAACTCCAAGAACTCATGAGACTCCCTTGACCCATTGGTCACCTAAGTTTCTGGCTTATGTTATGGCTCAGATGTTTCCCAGGAGACAGAAATGAAGAATCTGAATCAACTTCCAAGAGTGCTTGAAGTGAGGTCAGGGAGCTGGCAGTCACTCCAGTATGCTGCCCCCCACAGCTCAGGAAGAGAAGAGGGCCTCGCAATCTCAGAGATATATTCTTCCCTGAATGTCAGGAAGAGAGGAAGCACAAGTCATGACCAAAGACTAGCCCTGGTGAGGTGAGAGGTGTGCGTGGGTGACGGGTGAAAAATAGCTTCACTCGTGTAACGGTTCATTCAATGACTGTTGTGTGACCCTAGAAACAGGCAACACAGCGGGAATTTCTCTGAGGAGTTTGTCCTACAGAGCACACAGACAATACACACTCTACACAGGCAGCTGGTGTGGCTAGAAGAAAAAGGTGAAAAGCAAACAGGAGTTGGGAATCCCAGAGTAAGGACTATGATTTTACACAGGATGGTAGGAGGGCCTTATCAGATGACCCTAAGCCTCAGCATAAGGACAGGTCACACAGGTTGGATGTCAAAAAGGCAAAGGCTTCCTTCTAAGTGAAGCTGGAGATTGCTGATTTGTTGTCTTAATTTCGGCTTCCATTGCTGTGAAGAGACACCATGAGCAAGGCGACTCTTGGAAACATTTAATTGGGGCTGGCTTATACTCTGAGATTCAGCCCCTTATCGCCATGGTGGGAAGCACAGCAGCGAATAGGCAGACCTCTTGAGCAGAAGGCAGCAGGAAAGGAATGTGCTCCACACTGCGTGGAGCTGGAGCTTAGGAGAACTCAACACCCACCCTCGGTGGCACGCTTCCTCCAACAATGCCACACCCACCCTATCAAGGCCACACCTCCTAATAGTGCCATTCCCCATAAGCCACGCGTTCATACATGCATCTACAGGGGCCATATCTCCTTAAACTACCACATTCCACTCTCTGGCCCCAACAGACTCATAGCCATAGCACAACACTAAATGCAAAAGTCCCCATAGTATATCACAGTCTCAACAATGCTTAGAAGTCTAAAGTTCAAAGTCTCTTCTGAGATTTATGCAATCTTCAACTGTAATCCCCCATAAAATAAAATTCAAAAAGCAGATCACATACTTCCAACTTGACGAGATATACATTACCATTCCAAAACATAGTCAAAGCAGCTTAGCGAGGAAATACTGGACCAAACCAAGACCGAAAACCAGCTGGGCAAACTCCAAACTCTGAATCTCTGTATCTGATGTCAAAATGCTCTTCAGAGCTCCAATTCCTTTCAGCTTCGTTGACTGTAACACACGTCTTTCTCTTGGACTGGTTCCACTCCCTGTGAGTAGCTTTCCTCGGCAGGTATCTCACAGCTCAGGCATCTCTTGCCTCTTGGAGTATCCAGGCTTCCCCTTCACAGCTTCACACAATGGCCTCTCTGGGCTTCCAAGCAGGAACCCCCGGCCCCAAAAGCTTTCCTTAGTTGTAGAGGGAGATTCTATAACCTTGTTCACACAGTGGCCTAGGATGCCCCTGACACATTCACAGCCTCAGAAGCTTTTCTTAGTCACAGAGGAAAATTCTACCCTTGATTCTAAAGCCAGAACCATGTGCCCAAAGCTGCCAAGTTCTGCTGCTTGCTGGGGCTGGAACATGGCATCCTCATCCAAGTATATGTTCACCACCTTTCTGTTTTCCATGGTTTTCTTCACTGCCTATGCCTGGCTTTCCTGGAACTTGCTCTGTAGCCCAGACTGACCTTGAACTCAGATTTGCATGCCTCTGTCTTCTGAGTGCTGAGATTAAAGGCTCCTTCTGCTAGGAATAAAGGCATGTACAACCATGCCTGAAATTTAAATGTTTCTTTAATTCCTTTTCACAAAATGGAAGCTTAGCTGAATGGGATCTTCCTCTGAGGTAAGAACTCCCTTAATCCCATTTGATATCTTTAATCTATTTATCTCCATGAACACAGGATTTACTTCCAATCCACATCCTGGTGCCCCTTCAATTCATGAACCATGAATTTTATATATTATCTTTCTTGGTCTGGCTGATATAATTGTTCCCAGTCCCTTCAGCTGGATAAGCTAATCAGATGCTTCTGAAAAATGCCCCACTGCCCAGCCTTTGACTAGCATTTTCAGCTTTTCTGGGACCTGAGAGCAGATGCCCCAGTTGCAGCTGGAAGCAATTACAGAAAAGAATACATTGCCTCTGCCCCCTTGACAAGCTGAAATGCTAAGTGAAAAGTAAATTCCCTTTGGGAAGAATTTCATTTTTATGCCTCTGGTTTGGCCCAAGACACCTTAACAAAAATAAAACAAAACCTATTAGATAGGCAGAAAAAAAGAATAACTGATTGCAGAATCTTTTTGATTGGCCCCCTTGGCTACCCATCAGCTTAGCAGGAACACTGCCCCTCTTTTTTTTTTTCCTGTTCTTCATAGGGCCTTGCATTCTCAATGTTTTAGTTAATTTTGTTCAGTCAAGAATTAATTCAGTTAAACTCATAGTTTTAAGAGCCCATTACAACCTTCTATTTTCCCAAGAACCCCTAGACATCTGTCTCATTAGTCACAATACAAGGAATGTTGAGAGCAGGTAAAAGGAACTTGTCTTAAGTACTACCATTTTGACTTTAGACTCCAAGCTGACCAACCCCCCTCTCTAAGCAACAATAGTTTCCCAAAACATAATGCTTGCTCTTAACAGAAAGAAAAAATGAATTTGATTGGTTGGGCAAAGACACTTAAACTTAATGTCACTTGACAATGATGGAACACTTGGGAAAGTCTCTAATTCCCGGGTTTCGATTGGTTAAAACTCTTAGCTCAGGTTCTACTTGGTTTTATGTTTATAAACTTGACTTCAGCTCCTACTCAGGGCTACCAGAAGAAACAAGACTCCTGAGTCCTTTTCTGGTGGCCCCCATCAACCAGAAACTCCACTTAAGTGTTGGGAATAATGAACAATTTTATTGTTTCATGAGCCCACTGGTGTTCTTCTCTCCCCTTCCTCGTGGCATGCAATAGCTCAGAACCACACTGTCCATAGCCAAACCATGCCAGGCATAATCATTTGCCCATATCACCAATTCCTGAGTTATAGAGCCTTCTAATGCCACTTCCAAAGGACTGCAGAGTGCAAACCTCACCAACCTTCTCAGTGTTGGCTCAAGGCCCAGGCTGGGCAAACCGAGCAGATAGTAATTTGATGCCTCTGTGACACTTGTTACCTGAGGAGTATTCATGTCATCTTTGGTAACAGTAGTACATATGAAGCCATCACTTCTTTGAGGGGCATTTTCAACACTGCTTCTTCCTGTGACTATAGCCAACACAGACCTTTCAAGAACCATTAGACAATAGGCTCAGCCAGCACTTTTTCTATTCTGAGAGCTGTTACCACAGCTTAAGAACTTCCCTGGTTGCTCTTCTTCCTTCCCATTGTCTTCCACCCTTGCTGTAAAAAATAGAGAGCCTTTACCCTTGAGGGCTTTGCATTCTGGTGGAGGTCAGGGACAGCACATAATGACAGTGCTGTGGGCAGAGTGAATGATAATGTAATCAGAACAGGTAGGTCTTTAAGGAAATATGAAAATAAAAGGGAGACACAACCTACCACCTTTCCAGTTGCCAGAGCTGAACAAAGGCCTTAAAGCAAACAATTCTTGAGTTAAGGAAAACGTTAGCTGCCCTTCCTACAGCATCCCCAAACTAATTTTTAGATAAAAAGAGAAGACAATATTCCAAGCATGTGTGTGTGTGTGTGTGCTCTTTTAAGGCTCTAAGAGAAATGTGCGCAGGAGGCAGAAGCAGAGTTCATGGCTGGGCTTTAACGCTGGATAGAGGAAATGCTTACGCAAGTTGGGCAATCGTCTTGTCCAGATGTCTCCTCATCCTTTCTTGACAGCACAGAATGGTATCAACTTCCTACTCAATTAAAAAATAAAACCGTGTGTTAGCATCTTCATTGGGTATAGCACCGAAAGCCAGCACTGTTCAAATCCGTCAATAAGGAAAAGTTTCATTTGTGTTTGAGGCGGCATCCGTGTGATGCTGCGTGTGTGCACCCCAGGCACAGTGCCAAGTGTGCGTTCCGTGTGTTAGAACCCAGGCTGCAGCGATATCACAAGGTACAGCATGGTCCAGCACTTCGCAAGCCCTCAGGAGCACCGAAAGCTTGGTTTTGAATTAAATTTTGATTTTGAACATCTAGAACCCTTCCACTGCTGTGAAATTTTTATGACCTCCACTCTTTCTGCTACACAACCCCAGAAGGGATCGTGGCCCACAACTGAAGAGGCCCATGCTTAGAAGGTAGTCGGGATTCAGGAGGTGCTAGGTCTTCTAACAGCGACGCTGCAGCTCTTTTCTCCAGACATAAACATTCCTTCCTGGATGGAAGAGGGAAGCGCATAAAATCCAGGAGGTAAACAAAGTTTACAAGGCCCAAGGTTCCTGAAAGTTGAGAGTCACTAAGCCTCTATAGAAAGGTTGCTGGGTAAGAACAGACTCCCCCTTTGGCCTGGCTGCCTTTAAGTTGTGCTGGGAGATCCAAGGATGTAGCTTTTGTGTGTCAGTCACCCAGCCTGGGCTGGGCTTTCCAGGAAGTAAGCTGCCTTTGAGCTTCCCATTCTCACCTCCCCCATACTCCAATAAGTAAACCCAACAACCTCAATGGCTCTCTAGCAGGGAGAATCATTTCTTCAGATTTTTCATCACTTCCCTATCTGGGGTGCGGCATTCCATTCATTCACATCTCCCCAGGAAGACTCACACAAGAGGTCACTGGCCTTGTTCCAGTGGAGAGGCACGACCAGCATCTCAAGAACACTGATGTCCAACTACAGATGTGGGTGACTGCCAGCCTTAGGCTACAGCCTGAATTGCAGGTTTAATAGTTCAGGGGTGTCCCTATTAATCCAGACCCTTCACCCAGCAGGCTCAAGCTGTTCTGTGTTTTCACTTAACTGTGTGTTTGAGGATGACTAGCAAATGGCTGTCCTTTCTGACATGGCTGGCTGTGGGAAGCCTTTGGCCCCACAGCCTGTTTGAAGATAGAAACATAGGTAAGAAGGGCACAGCTTAGTATGGATGGTTGGATCCTACCCGTGTGTACTTTCTTGCTGAGTCAGGGTTCTAGTCAATGCCTTGGAGCAGAGCCCTCCTGGGCCTTCATTGGGCTGAAATGGGTCTGTCTCTCACATGTTCCCAGTAAACCCTTGAAGGCTGCTTCTAGCAGAGCCTCAGTTTACCTCTGACTAATAAGTTTGGGTCTGAGTCCTAGAGCACAGCCCAGGATGGATGGATGGGTATGCCATGACTCTGCAAGGCTCACTTAGCTTCAGAGTTCAGAGAAACACCAGGCTGACAGAGACCTCGACAGGCAGATAACATCATGGCAGTTCCCCAAGAGAAGCTGTTCTGGAAGAGACTGCCGAATACACCAAGCAGCCCTCATCTGGGATACTTTGGATTAGGAACACCTCAGAATTCAGATTTTTTTCCCCCAAAATTTGTAATTTTGTATGGCTGTGGTGAAATATCTTGGGGATTGGGACACAAGTCTAAACACAGAATTTATTTATATCTCAGATACACTTTATACCTACAGATAATTTTAGATGTTTAATTTAACCCGAATTCTGGTGTGCAATTCCCTGCTTGTGGTGTCATCTTCATGCTCAAAATGTTTCAGTTTTGGAACATTTCAGATTTTGGATTTGGGGGTGGGGGTGTTCAGCCTATATTACTTCTTGTATCTAATAGTCAAAAGAACTACCGTGAAAGTGTGTGTGTGTGTGTGTGTGTGTGTGTGTGTGTGTGTGTCTTATATTGAATAACAGGACACATGTGCTACTTGAATTAATTGGGGGTGACCAATTCATGATCTATCACTCTAGCTGCAGATTTAACTTTGAGATGAGATGACCTCTGCTACTGACATGGAAAATACCGACCTCTGATTCAGTGTTCCTTAGTTCTCAGGGATAGGTCTGCAGAACTCAGACCACAAACGGCATCATTCACCTACACAAAGCTACAGCTCAGAGTTCGTTAGTACACCCACCCCCAACACCAAACTCAGGGCATTTCCATCACTGCACACCCCGCCCCCCCCCCCCCCAAAAAAAAATCAAGCACCTCGTGAATTGCTGAAAGAATGCTCTACTGTGGGAATATCAACTAGGGTGGTTTTGCTTTGGTGATTTCCTACATTTTGTCCCTACAGTTTATCCCCATGCAAGCTCTTCCCCTTTGGCACATGCTTTCTTTTCTCCTTGCATAGGTACTTGAAAGTAGAGTTACTGGATTACATGGTAACTGAGTAATCCTGTTCTAAAGCAGTGGCAACCTTTCCCATTCCCGCCCACAATATGCATGGATTTTAATCCCTCCACAGCCTCAGCTTTTGCTTTCTGCAAAGAAACCACCATCCTACTAGTGGGCATGAAGATGAGTCTCATTATGAAGGCGATTTATGTTTTCTTGGCAAGTAATGGTGATCAGTAGTTTTATGCCGTGACTGGTTTTAGCTTTTCCTCTTTGGTTGAATGAGATAATTCAACCATTTTTTAAAAATTGGATTGTTTTTCTCAAAAACTATTAATTTTTATTTATCTAGGCTAGATACAAGCCCATATCAGATATATGATATGTGAAGATTTTTGTTAATGATAATCTTCTTTGATGCACCGATTTTTCAGTTTTGTCTTGTAGCTTAGCTTGTATTTTCATTTTGCTTTCAGTGTTGTGTCTAAAACAGTCACCTACTCCAGTGCCCAAATTATTTATGCACACTTTTTCCTAAATATTTGATCATTTTTAACTTTATTCTTAAGCCTTCCATCTATTTTTATGTAATGTTTTGATATGTCATAGTTTAGAGATGTGAGGTGGGGTTTTGTGTGTGTGTGTGTGTGTGTGTGTGTGTGTGTGTGTGTGTGTGTGTTTGTTTGCTTGTTTTCAGATAAAGAGTTAAACTAACAGTAGGATTCAATGAGTGGCTGAAGCCGAGGCCACTCTGCCGTCAGTAGGAAGAGGTAGGAGTCAGGGTAGGACAGGCTGGGAAGTGAGATGGAAGGAAAGACAGACAGACACTGGCTTTGACCAGTGCATACTTGATCCCTATTGTTGTTGCATGTTAATCAAAATTTTAAAAGTTGTTTGGCAGAACACTTAAGGTGAAGAGCTAGTGTTTAATTCAATGTCTTAGCCAAAGGAAGAAACTGGGAGCAGCCTCAAGCACATGGAGGCCGAAGCCTTGACAGACTGAGAAAGGAGACACTATTGTAGTAATGCAGAAAGGTGAGAGAATTTAGGAGTAAATTGGATTTAGCAGCCAGAAAATGCAATGGAGCCTGGGAATATCCACAGAGAGGCTCAGGCACATCAGCTCAGAGGTGGCAGCTTGGCATTGAACCAAAACTTCCCCAGATGTTTGTGCCCTTTGATCTTTTGACGCCTCGGTGCCATTCCTGGAAAGAACTGGGAGGAAGGAATCAGGAGTGTGCACTGTGGACAGCAGTGATGCTTTTTTGACACTGTGGTGGCATCAAGCCATAGGGCCCAGACCCTGTGCCTTCCTTGGAGACTGAGTACATGCTGCCAAGTAGTGTGTGGGATGAGGGAGCTGCCTAACTGTTCAGGAAGGTAAGACTGAGCTGTTGCCAGGCGGCAGCATCTTCTCATTGTGAACTCTGGGAACCGGATAATCAAGGTTGTGTCCTACAGGGATATGCAGTGACATGGAAAACTTCAGTATCCTTTCAAAGGGATGAGGGAGTTTTCTCATTCCCAAATACGGCATGAGTGCAATCTTGGGGACATATGTATGTCATTACTGTGGGAAGCAGTGGTATCTATCTAAACATATTTGGCAGAATGACTGAAATACTCCAAAGTCAACGCTGATTGCTGCAAACATCTAATCTTTCATTATTCTTTCCTATATTTTTAGAATTCTCAGTCAACACATACTACCTATGAAACCAAGAAAATGAACCTTTCCTTGGCATTATAAATTTACTTCTAAGTGGCTTTAGAGAACCCTGATTTCTCCACTTAAACACAAGTTTGTAAACAAGAAACTTCTCATTACTGAAGCACCCTCCTCCCCCACCCCCCACCCCCCACCCCCACTTACCGTCAGTAGTTCTTTTTCAACTTCATCATGAGCTAGGTCAACTCCCATTCTCTTCTCACGATGAAAGAGACACTCTTGGGAAACCTGGAGATCCACGGAGCAGAGAGCTGGTCACTACAAACTGACTGCAGCAGAGCACAAGGCGGTCTGCTCCCAAGCTGGGCTTCTCACTCCAGTTTGGGAGAGCCTAGCACAGGACAGACCATGACAGAGAAAGAAATCCTTGCTGCTACTTAAAGGTTCATGTGTGCTCTAGAAATCAACTTGGGAAAATAAAAATAAGTCCTAATTTGGAAAACTGACAAAATGAATCTCCACCTACTACCAACCGAATTAAGCACTTGGCATCCGTTTATTGAGGATACACAGTGGGAAGAACTTGAAACATAAAGTCTGAGGTATTATTTTTAAATAATGTCTACTAAAAAGTAGAAAAGAATTTAAAATAATGTTTATTATTTTTAAATAAAAATGTAATATTTATCTTGAAATATTAAAATATTTGTGAAACCAATTATCTAAACCATATCTTTAAAATATTATTTATTATTTTCTAAGTGTAAAAAATAATATGCTTTTACCTACTAGGAATTAAAATAGCACTCAGGGACATATGAGTTCCAGGCCAGCCTGGTCTACAAAGTGAGTCCAGGACAGCCAACAGAAAGCCTGTCTCGAAAAACCAAAAATAAATAAATAATAAAAGAATAAAAATACAGAAAATGTTTCAGCCATACTTATCATCACTGCTTTGTTTGTTGGTTGTTTGATTTTTAATAAAATGGAGGCAGAACTGTCCCAACAATTTTATACTGTTTTTTTTTAGGATCAAATTAAATAGCACACTGAAGTTTTAAAATATTCTTTGAGGCAGAGACTATTAGTGATGACAATGAAAAGCAGTATAACTTGCTAGCAATGAAGTAGGTCATGACGTAGCTAAAATGCCTTTTCAAAGCCTTTCCCATGATGTGAAACTACTGTGTGACGTTAAACTGCTATAAACATAAAGTGTGAGCCATGTTGGAAGATAGTAGTGAAATTTAACTGAGCAAGTTCCTAATTTTAATAGCATAATCTATACAATCCACTGATTATTTAAGTGGATGTCACCACAGTGCCTTGCAGGACCCTTCTTCCGGTCCACGGTCCCACGAGGGACCAAGTGCACATTCTGGGCCCTAGAAGTTACAAGTGCTCACTGCTGCAAAGGTGATAGGCTAAAAACAGCCACCTTGTTGGTTTAACCCTGTTGTGTTAGAGTTTAACAATCGTCCTCCTAGCTATGGGGGGTTACTTTCTTGTTGGAGGGTTACTTCTAGGCAGCGCTGATTGCAAGCAGGACTTTCTGACTCCGTTTTGACAGTCCGTGTCGTGACCCCCAGGAACACCCAGGCCAAAATGGCTCACCTGAGAGCCACGGCAGGGTTCAGTCCTCACGAAGGGGAGTGAGGAAAGCAACAAAGCATCTTGGAGAAATTAAGTATCAGGGCATGTGGTCGTGGTTTTAAGGATATTTCCAGCCCTGAGCTAGGTCTTGACAAGCTAGGGTGAGTTTATCCAAAAGGACCCCAATGTGAGCACCCCCAAGCTCCTCGGGGGCACTGGGGGGGGGGGGTGTTGGTGGTTGGTGGAGAGAGGATGGAAGAGGAGCCACACTGCAGAAAAGCCCGACAGACTCCTCCAATCCCCAGACTTCTGCCCCTCAGTCCTCACTGTCGCCCTACAGGTGCCATGTGACCCCCGTGAGTATTCCGCACGGAGACGGCTGGTGCTGGCCGCACTCCCTGAGAGCGACACTGATTTAGTGTATGCTCTCCCTAGCTTTAGATGCAGAATGTCCTCTTGCTATGGTGGTGAGCATGAAGGGGTTGGAGGGCCCATCGTGCGGTCCGAGGGTCACAGGGGACGGGAGCCCACTCAAAGCCTACACCAGACGCCAGGGACTAACTGAAGTGCTGCTTGTCTAACCATGACAACTGGCCTCCACTCAGCCCTGTTTATCTGCGTGCGCGCGCGTGTGTGTGTGTGTGTGTGTGTGTGTGTGTGTGTGTGTGTGTATGGTGAGTGTGCGTGCATGCATGTGTGTGGGTGAATGTGAAGGTCAAGGTCAGCCCTGAGAGCTGTGCCTCCTCAGAGTCTATCAACCTCATTCTGAAACAGAGTTTTTCACTGGCCTGCAACCCATTGGCTGGCCAGTGAACCCAGCAATTCCCCTGCCCAGTCCTGCACCTGTCCACACATGCCGCCCTGCCCTACTTTTTCTGAGGTTCTGGGGATCAAACGCAGGTCCTTCTACTCACAAGGCAGAGGTGTCACCGACCGAGCCATCTCCTCAGCTTCTAGCAAATGACATTTTTTTGAACAACTGTTTTCTTAAATTTTCATCTTAATCTAGAACCTGCAGAAGCCAGGCCAGCCTTTTTAAAGGGCTAAGACGATGGGCGCGTTCAGGTGAACACAGTGTTGCGGCCTAATGGTGTTTCTTTAGTCTGCTTTGCTTTCAGAATTCGCTCAGAAACTCACTATGTGTGATGTGTGTAAAATGCCAATGGCTTGGCCATTACCGATGCCATTTACAGATTTCTTGATGAGTGGTATTTCGATAGGCAACACGAAATGAAAATTTACTGAAAATGACCTCTGACGACTAAGCTGCAAGCCAGGAATGGCAGCGCACGCCTGTCGTCCCAGCACTCAGGAGGCAGAGGCAGGCAGATCTCAGTGAGTTGGAAGCCAGCCTGGTCTACAAAGCCAGTCCGGGACAGCCAAGGCTACACAGAGAAACCCTGTCAGAAAACAACAACAACAAAACAAACAAACAACGCCAACAACAAAACCCTAAGTTGCAGAACCTTTTACTCCATATCGCACGCTCACCTGCAGAGGAGCTTCCAGCTCCTTCAAAGCCCTCTCCAGCCTTCTCTTGACATCAGTAAGTTCATTCGTCTCTCCAATCATTTCATCCAACTCATGTGTGATTTCAGATTTCCAAAACATTAGGTCGTTGACACGCTCTCCTAACTTTCGGTTACAGTCGGCCTGGGTCTTCCGGATAAGTCGGTATTTGTCTTGAATGAGACGGGAGGTGTCCACTCTGAGTCTTTCTGAATTGTGCCGTGCAGTAGCAGACTCTTGAAAGCTCACCAAGGTGGACCGGTACCAATCTTCAGGAGTGTATCTTGTGAAGAGGGTGGTTCTGTTGGACACGAAGGGGAGCATTGTGCTATCACACATTTGATGGGATTTTGTGGTCAATGGGGCCAAGTTTGGGTAGTTGGAAGCCGTTTTATAGTATGTGTTTGGTCTCCATGGAAGGCTCAAGCTGTGTGCCAAATTGCGATGGGGAAAGCGGTCCCGATAGCTTGATGCCATGACACCAATGGCTGGTAGATAGCTGATTGGTGCTGGTTGAGTGTGGGCATAAGTGCCCGGTAAAGCAGAACCTAAAAGCTCCATGCTGCTCAAACACTATTTGTAAATCTCTCCTGCAAAGGAAGGAAAGAAGGAAAGAATATCAAATAAATTAATCTCATAACATACATATAAAAGGTTACATCTGACATAGTACCCACTTCAGTGCTCCTGGATTCATTAGATATTTGTTCTCATATATTATCAGTACACTTCCTGGTGACAATTTTAAAGTTTCCATCCCCATGTCTCGAAAATATATGAAGGCACTATGTTTTTATATTGGCAATTTGCATTTTTTGAACATCAAATGCTTTAAATTAAAAGACGAATAATGTTGCATACAAACTCAAATCATGAGTGTGAGGTCACATTTAAACAGATAGTTAACTCTACATGTAACAGAGTCAAATCTTGCCCTTGCCGTGTGACGATGGGGCAAATTACTTAACCTTCGGCTGCCTTGTCTACAAAACCGAGGGGTCGATACCAGTGCCCTCTTCTTTGGATTGTTCAAACAGCGCTGAAGAAAGCAGTTCCTTGGCAGCACTCCCCTGCTCCATTGTGCCCTCCTACAAAGCACGTGGGCTGATGGCAGTGGGATGGCTGGTGAGGGACCATCCCCCTCAGGGAGCCTCCGGTATGGAAACTGCTGACCAGCCTTGGGGCTGGGAGGGTAGGCGAGGCTAAGCATTGAGCCATCTGGAACAATGTTGACCCAACAGTTTGGTTTTTTTTGATTTTTTTTTTAATTACCAGTTAATTTTTTAATTTTTTTTCAAATTACCAATTGAATGAAGTAAATGATGTAAAAGATAAATCCCCCTTGCCCCTAAAACTCCGCTGACTACTCAGGAGTCACTGTGAATGGCTCATTAGTGGCTGTGGCTTATCAAAGTATGATGTTCACGTGTAAATACATGTTAATTGTACATTATAGGCGTCTGCTCATGTGCCACTTATGTGTGCAGAGCTTTTTAATACAAAACACCGAGTTACCCTAATTGCAGTATGTATCATTCTAGAACATACTTTTTTTCTTTTTAGTTGAATGCATAGCTAGGACCTCTTAGGAAGACCAGGATGCCATGGACTGTGACACACTCTTTGGAATGTAAGTATAAATTCTGTCGGGGAGTTAATATCTAAAGACCTATTACTAAAAGGAGAGAGAATCAAGTCATAGTCTATTTGACACACTATGCAGATAAAAATAAATAAGTTCCTCAATGAGTCAATGGCTTTATACCGATACCTTTTTACCTAAACCACGGAATAACTGATTGGTAGAACCGTGTTCAAGTTAAAAATCTGCCCAGGCCACAGCATAGAACATCTGCCTAGGCCCAAGTGGCCCAGGTAACACTCACTCCCTCACTGTTTGCTAAATCTTCCTCTCCTTTTGCTCCCAGTCACCTTTTACTGGCATCTTTCCACTTCACTTTGAAACTTTAAATATTGCTTTTCTTCAAAGCAAGATCAAAGCAACTTGAGGTGCTGGAGACCTTAAGTCTGCCTTTCATCCAACCCATTTCCTTGTCAAATCCAGAAACAACATAGTTTTCTCCTAGCAAAAACCTTTCTACTTGGCTTGGTAGATACTTGGTGAATAATTGACAATAAAGGATCCCAACTCCAGAGGGTCATTTGAAGGGTGACATGCCATGTGGATTTCTCTACACCTGCTATGCTGGCATCTTGAGATATCACAATCCAAGCTTGTTAAAACTGAAAACATACAGCCATGGAAATGCCCATTCACAAACAATATGAGGCAGGAGGACTGAGAAATGGCCAAACAAAAAGCACACACAACTTTGGTTTGGGGAAGGGATGGCTGAGGATCTGAATGGATACACAGGATTTAGAATGAGTTCTACAAGAACCAACTATGCTATAGCCAAACCTGGAGCCCCAGCCATCCATCCTTTAAAGCCACCAAGGAAGATGGGGTGAAAACCATCCCTTGACCGGGTGTGGTGGTACATGCCTGGAATCCCAGCACTCAGGGAGCCAGAGGCAGGCAAATCTCTGTGAGTTAGAGGCCAGTCTGGTCTACAAAGTGAATCCAGGACAGTCAAGACTATATAGAGAAACCCTGTCTCGAAAAACCAAAGAGGAGGAGGAGGAGAGAAAGAAAAAAGAAAGAGAGAGAGAGAAAAAGAAAACCATACCTTAGTTTTACCAAAATTCTCCACCATCCTGTATTTTAAGCTGTTATTGGTTATGAAATCCAAAAGTATCATGGTCTAAAAAAATGTTTTAAGAACTCAAACAGGATTTCTCCCTACAACCATGGTGAGCTAGTAAAAACTCTACATCTAAAAACCTTGATCCAACATATGGAACAGCCTCTCTCACACACTGGGCTACAGGTAACACAGGGCCGGTCCCTCAGAGAAAGGAACCAAATAATGAGCCCTCCACTTGTTCTAGCATTGTACTTGGGGGTAATTTCCAGATCACTGTGGGAAAACCACACGAAACAGAGCAGAGCTTGGCAGGCTCCACATATTGAAAGAGTGGTCAGACTCTGGAGAGGCCTCAACAGCTGGGAGTTGTAAGCAGAACTCCAGAAAACATAAGCTACGCAAACACAGCTTCAAAATCTCCCCAGGGATGCATGTGAGTATGATTAGGCATAGTCTGCGCATGTTTCAAGGGATCCTCCTCCAACTTTGCCGAACAGGCGCAAAGCTGTCAGAGGAACTATTTCTAGAGCTAGAAGGTAGAGATGCGTTCTGAACTCAGAGGAGCGTGATGCTCCCAGGAGATGGACAGTGAAGATGTCAGAGCCGTCACCCATTTGAAGTCCTTGTGCTGAGAACACTTATGGATTGACCATGACATGTCAGCCATGAGGTCAGGTTTGCTGCCTGCTACATTGGGAGCTTGTGGAAACAGGTTCTAGCTGCAGGAAGTAAGCCGCTAGGGGGGCACGTCCTTGAGGGTGTATTATCTCTGGCTGCTTGGCTTGCCCTCTGTTTTCTGGTTGGCCATGGAGAATAGCCCTCCGCTACCATACTCTTCTGCTATCATCCTGCACATGGGGTCACGCAGTCCTCTGAAACCATGAGACAAAATTAATCTTCCCTCCTTTCATTAGTTCTTGTCTGGTAACTTTCAAGAGTAATGTAAAGATCAGAATAGCGTACTGAAGACTCACTTAGGCAAAATGTGAAAATGGGTCTCAGGATGCTCAGACTGGCCCACAAGTAACCTGGTAACACTCAACCATGCCACATTGTCCAGCATCTGGTCAAAACCTTCTTACCTACTCACAGACAGAAAATATGGCCCATCATTAATTGCTCAGTAGAAGCAGGTCTGGAAATGGAAGGGACGATGGGATGACAATAACTATAGAAAGAGCCAGATGGGACTTGCGCAATAGAGAAGGCAGAACAAATGCATACAATACGTACTTAACCTATTAACTGGGATGGGCAACAGATTGGACACTGGAGAAATAGATACTAGTTCATTCAAGCCTTCTGAAGAGGAAATAGAGATGTTCTTTAACTGAAATTTAAAAAAGAAGAAGAAGAAAAGCCAAAGCAGCATCATATGGGCACAGAAACTCTGCCTTTGTGATGTCATAAAGAGAGGGACCAAATGTTGAAAGAAATTACTGAATCTCTTCCACATGTGACAGAAACTGTTGCAGCCCTTAGATGGTTATAAGATATAGAAATTCCAAAACCTGACCAAAGATAAACAGAGGTACACACGAGCATACACATACCCCAGTACTGCCCCAAGGCTAATCCAAATCAAACTGCTGAAAGCAAGTCATAAAAAAAAAAAGGCTGAAAATCAGAGGTGGAAGAAAAAAACATCATGACAAGTAGAAAGAACAGGCATAAAAAGAAATTGTGGGACTGTCAGAAAGCCTTATGAACAGGAAACAGAGCTTTTCTTTAACTGAAATTTAAAAAAAGGAAAAGAAAAGAAGAGAAAGCCAAAGCAGAACACAGTTTCCCCCTAATGTTTGTTTTGCATGCCTGGCATCAAACCCCTAGTCTTTCACATGCTGAGCAAACATTCTACCAACTGAGCTACACGCTAGTCCAAAACAGACTCTTTGGAAAGCTGGAAGGAAGCATAAGGCAGAAATTCTGTAGCAAGTGAAATGTCTCTAATTCTAGTTTGCTTTCTATTGCTAAGATAACACCATGACCAAAGGCAACTTAGGGAGAAAAGGGCTTATACATCCTGATTACAGTCTGCCTTGGAGGGAAGCCAGGGCAGGAACTAAAGCAGAAGCAGGAATCACAGAGGAATGCTGCTTACCAGCTTGCTCTCCATGGCTCACCCAGCTTGTTTTTCATACAACTCTGGACCATCTGATCTGGGCTGAAACCACCCACCGAAAGCTGGGCCTTCTCACATCAGTCATTAATGAAGAAAATGTATGTTGAGCGGCCTACACATAGACTGAAGGATGATATTTAAACAGCACTATTTATATATTTATTTAGAAAAAAACATTTTAAAGATAAAGCATATAATTTAAAAATAAAAGTATAGAAATACATACAAGTAAATAGTAATAAAAATTGAATGTATTATGTTAATAACAAACCAAGTAAACCTCAGAACAAGACCAGAGATAAAAATGAACAAAAGGATCATATTCAAAGAGATATGACAGGGCAAGATGACTCAGTGGGTAGTGTCCTTAGCTGTCAAGCCTGAGACCTGAGGCCCATCCCTGAAATCCATATAAAAAGTGAAAGGAGAGAACCGACCCTAGGATTTATCTCCTCACATGCCCACCAGCACTCACAGATGCACACAGCAACAATAAATAAAAAGAACATCTTAAGAGACACAGCAGTCTCAAATGCCTGTGCAATCATTGGCCTAAGTATGTAACACAAAGGTTGACAAGATTAAAACAAGACGCAGTTGGATGCCCTGTGCTCGTCTGTAATGCATAGAAAAGGCATCCTGATGAACGCTCATTCGAGACTCTACACTTCCTGGTATCTTCACGGTGTCTATAGAGCACTCCACACAGAATGGAGCCTTGCGCACAATTTCCACCTGCACGGAGAATGCCCACCAATGCAGACTCTCACTAGCCACAAATCTCAACAACCTTAAACCATCAGAAGTGTGCAAGGTACGAGTTCTCTGAACATATCAAAATTAAGCTACAAGTTGATAGTGGACACTTAGGAATTTCCCGAGTAACAGGAAATTAAATAACACAAGTCTAAAAATGTCGTGAATCAATGAGGAAATGGCATGGGAAACTGGGAAACATCTTTAACTGAATGAAAACAAAACACAACATATGAAAATTAAGGAAACAGCAAAAATTGCTGCTAGAGCGAAGGATATATATCCTCATTCATATTAGAAAATGACTTCAAATGGGTGATCCGTAGTATTTTTATTTTGTTTTGGTTTCTGTTTTTCTTTTTCAGCTTTTCAAGACGGGGTTTCTCTGTATAGCCCTGGCTATCTTGGAACTCTCTCTGGAATTAAAGGCTTGTGCCACTGGTGATCTGTCTTTTAATCTAAGAAGTTAAAAAGCAAAATAAACCGAAAGCAGAATGAAGAAATAGCAAAAGGTGGCGGGGGGGGGGGGGAGGAATCAATGAAGCAGAAAAAGAATAAATAGGAAAAAAAGGGAGAAAAACAATAAAACTCTGTCAATAAAATTAACAAATTGGCTAGACTTGCCAAAATCAAAAGAGAAGGCAATTTAGGAATGAAAGAGGGATGTTACCACCAACCAAGCAGATACGCAAAAGCTTGAATAAGGCAACGTCACTCTCAGTTTTGTGTTAAAAGTGGACCACACAGGCCCAAACGATGGGTCAGGGATAAAGGCACTTACAACCAATCCTGATGAGCTGAGTTCAATTCACATGGTGGAAAGAGAGAACTGACTCCTGTAAGCTGGCATCCTCTGAATGCCACACACACACACACACACACACACACACACACACACACACGCCTCAGCTTGAAAAGGACTTTGGATTAATTTGCTGATTGTATCTGTTGCAGTGCCGAGTCTCCAAATTCAAATTCAGTCTCTCTATGCAAGTATGTGCAACACTTCTAAGATTGTTACCACTGTATTCACCTCATATCTGCAAGGAAATTCAACAAGCTCTTTGGGAAAATGACTGAAAGCAGCTATGGAAATCATCCCCTAGTCCGTATAATTGATTGATTTTTAAATAAAATTTGGGCCAGATGTGGGAGACAGACTTAGGAGGCAGAGGCCTATGGATCTCTATGAGTTTGGGGCTAGCCTGGTCTACATAGTAAGTTCCAGGCCAGCCAGAGCTCCAACGCATAAACAGATAACTAAATAGATTATATTTTGCCACTAATAAAGAGCATTGGAGGAAATGAGATGTGCTACAAAGTCAAACAGTGTTGGACTTTGTTCATTTAACATGTGATCTATGTGTATTAACATACAGAAAGTGCTATAACACTCATCTATAAATATTAATTTGCTAAGACAGAACCGACACCACGAAGAATACAAGTACTGGAAAGACCCGTTTACGCTTAAAGATGGGCTTCATTTGAATGGACATATTTTATCAGAACATTTTAGTCAAGACTTTAGTATCATAAATATTTAAAGGAACAAAAAAAACTTTTAGAACGTCTCCAGAAGACACAAATGCAGAAACTGTGCTGCACACACACACACACACACATACACACACACACACACACCAGCCTCAGATCCACCACAGGCACAGGGGCCCTCACATCCACTGGTTCTGGTAACGAACCCGGTGTCAGATAAGATTAGAAATATATGTTAATAGATACTACAGTTAACTAGGGCGTCTCTTCACACACACACAGAAACAGAACGTCCAAGAATCCCTCTCTAGTATTTTAAGGGAGCAAACTAAAAGCCCACGAGCAGGAAGATGAATAGGGGAGGTGAGGTCTCTTCACGGCACATCTGTTGCCCAGTGTCAGTTTCCTATCATTACATAAACTTAAAGCAACACCGTGTGGCGTCCAGACAGACACCTGATGAGAGAAGTGGAAAATGTGCAGAGTATAAGACAATAGGTGGTAGGTGAGTGCCCTGGGGAAGGAGGGGAGGGTCCGTAAGACAGGTTAAGGGGTGGATGGGGTGACCTGGCGTACAGAGGCTGTTCACCGAGTTATTGTGCGAAATATTTTTCATTTATCAAAGGAATAGAATATCTTACCAGATTCCTCCAACACTTTACCTAACAACAAACAGCTACCTTTCTGCAATGCCTGGGCAAAGGACGCTCCTGTTTTCTCAAGTGTTTGCCTATTACAACACCATAAGCACCAGGGATGGTACTGAGGGGCTTGTTTTTAACACCCCCCCCCCCCCCAAGGCAAGGAAGATTTAGCCGGAAGTGGCCCCTGGACAGGTTGTGCCAGAGGACAACCTGGTTTGAATTTTAAAACATGTCCTCCCCTGGGCCAGTTGGGACGCCTGGGATGAGAAAGCAGCTGGGAAGAGAGCCCGGGTTTCAGACACAAGGGCCACCCTCGAAAAGCAGGTGAGATGCAAGACAGATGCCCCTTCCCTGGAGCACAGAGCGGGACAGCGAGCAAAGGCTGCCTGGGACCTAGGTTGAGACACCCAGGTCTCCCAGGCACGAGCTACCGTCCTACATGCCTGGACCTCCCTTAAACCCCTCACCTGTGTGCGCCCTGAACCCTCAGCCACCTAGTAGCCGGCTCTCCCCGCCTGCCTTGACATCAAACCGTGGACCACTCAAGGCAGCCGAGGTCCCTCGCGGGAAGCGCAGGAAGTGGATTGGGCACTAGGCAGGGAAGCCCTGCCCTAAGCGGTTGCTATGGACGCTCACGAGCTTAGCAACCGCGCTGGAATAGAGGATGTTGGGAGACCGGAGAGTTCTAGGACGCACAGGCATTCGGCGCATTGGCTGCTTTGGGGATCTTTCCTCTGTTAGGTTTTCAGTAAACACAAACTATTTCTGCAGGCCCTGGTCACGTGTTTTACTTACATGTCCATCATTGCCAACTCCTTCCAAACTCTTTCGAGTTTGTTTTAACAAGGTGGGGGCGGGGAGCTGAGGCTGTAGACGCTCATTGGCCTCGCAATCACACCCAGTGGCAGAGCTCTAAAATGCAGAGTGCCTCCTGCGATGGCCTCCCAGCTGTGTCAGCCCCGGGAACTCACTGACACTAGTAACCCTTAGCTTCCCCAGGATTCAGGACTGGATAAGCCACATGGAGACCCTCCTGCGCCACCCAGCACTGCTATGCTAGCCTTCTCTTTCCCCAGTTCTCCTTCCCCTCAGGCAACTCCAGGTTCAAGTTGCCTTTCTGGTCAGCCATTTGCCTTCTTTTCCTCTCAAGTGTAGTCAGCGTTCTCTTGATTCTTGGGATCCGGGATGGGCTTCAGCGATGCCCCAAAGCTGCCACCAACATAGTATGTTCCTCCTCGGGGTCAGAAAGCTAGAAAATTCTGAATCAAATTTCACTGAGGTGTATTGAAGATGGGGCAGTCTTTATGCTTTGTATTGTACCATCTTCAACAGATCATAGCGTGATGGTAAGTGACTATTAATAGCCATGTGTCTGACTTTAAAAGAAACAGGAGAGATCATAGCACAAGCTGGTTTTTGAAGCAAAATATATGAATGTTATAAACTTCCTGGTTAAGTTGGGTTAAGTTGATCAACTCTATTTACAGGAAAAAAAATCTATTTTTTAAAAACATAAGTCAGATACCCATTGTATGATTGTCAAATGTTTGCCAAAACTAAAAGCTAATTATCATCCTTGCACTTCATTGTGCTTGACAGAAAAAAAAGGTACACAGCTAATATTTGTGTCCCGGAAACCCAAATGTGATGCTTAGCAGAGGAGAACACTTAGCAGCGGTCTGGACACACAAAGAGGTAATTGAGCTGACTGAGGCAATGTACCACATCGCCTAAGTAGCACACGGGGTGAGGCCAGCGATACAACTTCCTCCCTCCGTCCTGCTGTCACCAGGCTTCCTTTTTGGGCACTCTGGGGTTTCCTATCACTCAGTCATCAGCCTTTACCCAGAAGCCATCAGCTTGTTATAGCTGCACTTCCTCAGCAGAAACCAGGGGCAGCTATGACTTCTGAGAATCCGGGGGCTGGCCCACCCTTGCCAACCCAGTGGCTCACTCATCTTCCTCCCTGCGTTCCCAAATGGAAGTTGCTATCAGCGAGCATATGCTGCTCTCTCACTTGGCTATTCTTTGAAAATCTATACTTAGCTCTGTGAACCTTGCTAAGGACTCTCCTAAGACCCCTGTTACACATCAGAGCCTACAGGAAAACAAAGTCACCTCCAAACTTAGGCGTGCCCATTTTCCTTGTCCATGATCTTTCCGTTGAAAAAGGTTTCCTAACTAACATTTACATGGAACCACAGTACATCCTACTTTCTAGGTACCTGAAGTAGCCTTCCAGTGTCCCCTCATTTCCTCTTCTCTCTCCCTAGGGACCTTCCACTCTCAGCTTATGCCAACCATTCCCGTTAAACCTGCTTCCTCATCTGCTTCTTCAAGGTATCAGACTTTCCCTTCCCTTTCCCTTTTCCCTTTTCCCTTTTACCCTTTTCCCTTTTCCCCTTCCCCTTCTTCCCCTTCCCTTTCTTCCCCTTTCCTTTCTTCCCCTTCCCCTTCTTCCCCTTTCCTTTCTTCCCCTTCCCCTTCCCTTTCTTCCCCTTCCCCTTCTTCCCCTTTCCCTTCTTCCCTCCCTCCCCTCCCCTCCCCTTTCCTTCCCTTCCCCTTCCTTCCCTCCCCTCCCCTCCCCTTTCCTTCCCTTCCCCTTCCTTCCCTCCCCTCTCCTGCCCTCCCCTCCCCTCCCCTTCCCTTCCCTTCCCTTCCCTTCCCTTCCTTCCCTTCCCTTCATGTACGAGCTATGGACCAGGGCAAGTCCCAGGTCAACCCAGCCGATCCTGCTCCTGGGAAAAGCGTTGTTCAGGGTGGCTGGAGAATGGCATCTACCAACTCTTTTTGTAATAGGAGAAAATGAAAATTGAGTGGAAAAGGGCATTCCAAGAGTGGCAGAGGCATAGGCCCTCAGAGCGGGAACTGCCTTGTCAGAAATTTGGCAAAGAAAACGTTTGGGGCTTTGGGTTTGGTTTTAAGTTTCTCTTCTAAAACAACATGTAATTAAAAACAGTTCTGTGTGTTTATAGTCTACAACATGATGTTTTGAAATATGTATATGTTGTGGAATGGCATTCGGGTTGTGTAACAGACCACACATTTTGTGTCCATCCCTCCAACGACAGACACTACTGGTTAGTGTTTTGTCAATTTGACACAAGCTAGAGTCAACTGGGAAGGGAGAACCTCAATTGGGGAACTGCCTCCATCGGGTTGGCTTATGGGAATGTCTGTGTGGGACATTTTCTTGATTCATAATTGATGCAGGACCCGCACTCGCACCCCCGCCAGGTGCTGGGTTGTGTAAGAAAGCAGGCAGACAAGCCATCGAGGCAAGCCATCGAGGCAAGCCATCGAGGCAAGCCATCGAGGCAAGCCAGTAAGGAGCATCTGCATCAGCATTCTCTGCATCAGTCGGAGCCTCCAACTTCCTGCTTTGAGTTCATGCCTCAATTTCCTTCAGTGATGTACTGTTACCTGAAAGTATTAGATAATAAAATAAGCCCCAGCCCCCAAATTGGTTTTGGTGAGTGTGTTATCACAACAGCAAAACAAACTGGGACAGACACTTAGGTCGCTTTCATAGTGTGGCTGTTCTGGTGCTACAATCATCGTCATACAGATTCGGCTGTGACACCCTGACTTCAATTCTTTTGAATGCATACATGAATGGGACTTTGGAGTATGGTCATTCTACCTTTAGTGTCTGGGCATCCAGCATCCAGTTTTCCATTATGTAATTTATACTAAGTTACATTTCTACCAAGCCCACGCCAAGGTTTCCTTCCCCACATTCTCCCCGAGTTATCTTTGTCTTTCACTAACAGCCATCACGACAGGTCTGTCTATAGGTTTCTTAGGTGTGGACTTGGCTCCAAACTCTATTGGTCCTTTCCCATTAGCAGCCTATGTATCGCAGACATAATGATGCTTGCCTGCAAAGAGCAGCCCCAGTCTGCCCTTGCTTCCAGCTGCCCTTCTGGAAAACAGAGCACACTGCTAAAAGAGAACTAGCTGTGAGTTCTTCCCTTCCCTCCCTCATGTGTGAGTCCTTCCATCTCTGACTCCCGCCTTGAAAAAGGTGGCTAGAAGCATCCATCTCTATCAGTCTCCTGTGCCATTATCAAGGTTGAAGCTGCCGCATCTCCTGCCTGGATGGTGGCGAAGATGATATATATCTTTTTGAGATAGGGTCTCCCCCACAGAGCCTGGTCTTGCATGACCACACCCACTCTTTGTCATGCTCTTGGTAGACTATTTTATTATATTCATTCTCTAGATGGTGCAACAGAGACTTAGAGGGTAGATGACTTGAACAACATTATCCAGATGCAAAAGCCATGCTCTACAGTCTGGCCCTAGTATCTGTGCTCTTTACCTCTATCCTATGAGTGAATAATACTCATCAAACACTGATAAATCGAAAAGCCAGAGCCAACACGTAGATTTTGCCATACTGGTGGTGCTCTTTAAACCTTAGATGTATCCTCTAACTCTGCCCACATTCCTGAGGGGGGAAAGATCGAACGTGCCAGCAGTCAGTAAATGCTGACAGTCTGTTGAATTACCTTATCTGAGACCAATGTTCGGCTGATTCTAGGGCAAAGGTTCCCTGGTTAAAAAAAAAAAAAAAAAAAAAAAAGGTTTCAGGACAGCTTTATTCAGGACAATCCCCTTCAGTGGGGCAGCCTTGGTAGTGATGCCCTCAAAATGGGCAGGGGCAGGCCCACAGAGTAGGTACTATAGCATGCACCAAAAGGTGGGTCCAGCCTATGACACTTCTGGGGTGTGAGGGAACATCTAACCTGTTAGACCTTTCAAGAGAAAGTTTGATCGTTAAAAGCTACCATTAAAGAGGATTCTGGGACTCCAGCCCCTTCCTCTTTCTGTGTTTCTTTCTCATCTGCCATAAAATGAACCAGACTGCTCTTTCACTCACTTTTACCGTGATATACAGCCTAACCATGGGTCAAAAGCAAGGGTCAACCGAGGAAACTCTGAGCCTAAATAAAACACCCACACACACACACACGCTTTGAGTTGATTGGTTTGGGTAGTTTGTTATAGCGATGGGAAGCTAAATACAGAAGGCCCAGTGGCTAGTCCAAAAGAGTTAAAACAAATCTCCCCAGGGATATAGGATTGGAGCCCCACAAAGTCATGCCTGCTGTTAGCACAAAGTTGGATGGAAATGCAAGGGTGTGGGCTTGGATGGCTGAGGGTGAACCAGCTACTACTTTGTGAGATTTAGAGACCTGACAGATGATAGCAAGGTAGTGGAAGAGCCAATGAGTGAAATATTTGCCAGGCATGAGTGGAGATGAAGGCATGATGAGCAGGGAGCCTGTGGCAGCATTTTTCTATCATGAAGGGAAGGCCTTAGAGGCTGGAATAGAGTCCGAATCCCCTCCTTCACTTAGTAAGAAGAAGGGGGAAAAGAGTTCATACTGATGAAACATGTTTCCCTGGGAACCATGCAATCAATCAATCAACAATCAGTCAACCAGCCAACCGACCAATCAATAAGCATTCTATCTCTGATAACAGAGTTATTAGGCACTCTGACTCTGAAGATTTAAGTGCTTGGAACACTCGTCAACAT